ATCACCCAAAGGCAGGAGATGACCCTTAACATTTTAAACTACGACACGGTTCCTTTCTACAAACAGCAACACAGGAAGTCAGTACTTGCTTTCAACTTCCAAAGACTCTCACGATACTCTCTAGTTCTCCCATACCAAACAGATTTCTTCATGCCCAAGTCCATAACTTAAATAAAAGCATAAAATTAGGTCTAAACGCATTTATCCTTTCAGGTTAGGTCAACAATAAGACTTTAACAAGAAAACCAGAATTGAAGTTCACTTCTATTGTTTTCACAGAACTGAATTATCAAGTTAAATGTATTTTAATATCAAAGGGCCATATATTGTATGCAATGTCCAAAATTGGTAAATCCATAAAAACACAAAGTAAACTGTGATTATCAGGGACTGGGGAGAGGAAGAGGGAGCAATTACTATGGGTTTGGGTTTCTTTAGGGGAAGACGAAAAATGCTCTGGAATTAGTGATGATTATACAACTCTGTGGACATAGTAATACTTAACTGAACACTTGTCATGTGAGTTGCTAAAATTGAAAAAAAAAAAAGGTGACCTGAGCCTTCAATAAACTGAAGTAGGATTGGTATAACATGCCATATATACATCAACCAAGTACACTGCATATTGTCTAATGAATTAACAATAGTTGAAGGCAGAGGCAACAAAACACAGACTTACTTTCCTCAAATGGAGAAGGTGAATAGTATGTAGTACAGAGGGGTGATGGTTAAGTACCTGAGAAGTTCTCATGGTATCCAGTTAATGCTGAACACACGCACAGACTTCAATGCACAGCAAATGGAGTGATAAGCATGTTTACGTCAGTCAACCCTGACCGTCCTGATACTTCAGCCATCATTACAGAGGACTTATGCCCAGAAAGAAGATGACATTATTAAATATGACATGGTTCTATCAAGATGTTCACTGCCCAGCAGAATATTTAATAACATCTCTGCATCTAACACTAGTGCTATAACCTTTGTTCTGCACACTTCAAAACAGTTAAAATTCAATAAAGTGTACAATACATGAGCCACCCCACCATCAAAGCACTGGACAGTCTTTTAGCAATGCATGTGCAGAACAGTTGGAGGAAAAAAGTAATCAGCAGGATGTTACCAGCCCCGCAAAGGATTCCACAACAGGTGAAAAGGAAACATATTTAAGTGTGTATATGCCTAGTGGTAATAAGCATTATATTCACTAAGGATGAGGGATGATTCATTTTTTTTGAATATTAAATTTAGTTTTTCGAATAATGAACTTGCTTCTTTAATATTAAAAGACAGGGAATGGCCAGCACCAGTGGCTCATGCCTATAATCCTAGTGACTAGGGAGGCTGAGATCAGGATCGGATTCAAGACCTATCTCAAAAATACCCAACACAAAAAAGGGCTGGTGAAGTAGCTCAAGTGGTAGAGCACCTCCTAGCAAATCTGAGGCCCTGAATTCAATCCCTGTAACCCACCTTCCCTCCACCCCCCAAAAAAGGGACAGGGAATGATTGTCAGGGACCAAGAGAAGACAGGAAGGAGAAAACAGGCACATTCAGTTGGGGAAGGATGAAAAACTTCTGAAGATGGGTGACGGTGATGGTTCTCTAACAATGTAAATGACCTAGAGAACCGTATACCTAAAAGACGGACACAATGTAAATTTAAAAAATGAATCAAGGGAGACTCTTGAAGACTGGAAATCTCAGATCACACACACACAATGACCAACCATATCAAAATCCCGAATACAAAGGGAAGTATGCAATGGGGGCAATGTAATACAATGTAAGTCTAATCAGAATTGTCACTGTGAAACCTCCCTGTACCATGAATATATCCTAATAAAAAGGGAATTATAAAGTATGCAAGAAAAGTCAGGTAGGTCAGGATAATAACTACAGCTTTGCCACTGTGAGATCTGTGCACTGTGGCAAATTAACAAAGTGCAACTTTGCCTAACCTTTCAAAAAAGGCGAGGCAAGTTTGGTGGTACTGCAAAACAGGCATGTATGGCTGAGGCACAAAGGTACCGCCTAAGACATAATCACAGAAACAAGCAGGACTACACCACCCAGACTCTACTGGGTCAAAGTGCAATGGGAAAGTCACTTAAGGATTTTAGCAGATGAAAAAGTGACATGACCTTGAAGAAGGCATTCTGGTTGCTGTCTGGAAGACTGGAAGAAGACAACAAAGGAAGTCAGAACTTCATTAGGAGAGGATGACAGCAAAAAATGAATAGAAGCTGGACAGGAATGATCTCAATAGAGTAAGAGAGGGAAGAATCAAGAAGACCCGCAAGTTTCTCTCAGCCAACTATATGGTTAGAATGACCTTCAAAATGGAAAAGACTAGAGAGAACCAGGATTCAGATGAAATAGAAAACTGAAACCACTGACACTGAAGAGAAGCAGGCCTTGGTTTATTTCTTCAAAAGGGATGTGTTGTAGCAAGACTACAGCTTCTGAGTTGTTTACCATTTACCTCTACTAATGCAAACTAAGAATAAACACTGTGGGGGTAATTACTCTAAGTCTTCATGTAGACCTGATACATTGAACTAGCCCAACTAGCATAAAAGAACATAAAAACTTTGAGAGATTGACAGTATATTACAGGATGAAGCTGGAGAAATGGTAAGCGTCCACTCAAACAGAATCTCATCTACATACTTAGGCAAAGCTATTTGCAACCCCGTATGTATTTGGGGGAAGACAAATTATGTTTTCTTCCTCAGTCACTAGCATGGTCACACCAGTCACCTAAGCTAGAAATCCTGACAGATCTTTGATTCCAAGTACTGTTCTAACTAAACCCCGCACAGCCACTCAGCAATCAAAACCTGCTTCTTAGCCACGTGCAATGGCTCATTGCCTATAACCCTAGTTACTCTCGGATGGAGATCAAGGATTATGGTTTTGATGCCACCTAGGCAAAAAGTTAGCAAGACCCCATCTCAACCAGAGGCTGGGCATACTGGGTGCAAACCTGTTATTCCAGCTACGCAGTAAGCATAAATAGGAGAACAGCAGTTCAGGCCAGCCTGGGCAGAAAGGGAGACCCTACCCCCAAAATAACCAAAGCAAAGAGTTGAGGGCATGGCTCAAGTGTGAGCCTCTAAATTCAACCCCCCCAACTCTACCAAAAGAAAAAAAACCAAAAAATGAAACTCTATTGCATTTAAGTCAGAGGCTCATTTTTAAAACTACACATGACCAGAATTCCACACCCAAGGCAGAAGCAGGAGTTTCTCTATCTCTTGAGTCACATCTCCAGTCCATTTTGCTCTTGTTATTTTGTAGATGGAGTCTTACAAACAATTTGCTTTGCTGGCGTCAAACCTCAATCCTTTCAATCGCAGCCTCCCAAGTAGCTAGTATTTCAGGTGTGAGCTACTGGTGCCTGGCTCTGATAAAAAACTTTTAAGTCTGTCCAGGTGCTGGTGGCTCACACCTGTAATCCTAGCCACTCAGGAGGCAGAGATCAGGAGAACTGCAGTTTGAAGCCAGCCTAGGCAAATAGTTCTCAAGATCCCATCTCAAACAAAACAAAACAAAACAAAAAACCACCTCATCAAAAAAAAGGGCTGGTGGAGTGGCTCAAGGTGAAGGCCTTGAGTTCAAGCCCCAGTGCCACAAAAAAAAAAAAATAAATAAAATAAAGATCTGGCCCCAGGCCCCAGATGATTCTGATGTGCAGCCCTGATTAGGAACCACCATTAATAAACTCTTATTATCATTCTGTGGTGTCAGGGATTGAACCCAGGGCCTTGTACCTGCTAAACAAGTACTCTAGCACTTGAGCTAAGTTCCCAGTCAGTTTTGTTTTGTTTTGGAGACAGGGTCTTGCTGCTGTCTTTACCTAGTTTGACCTCAAACTCTCCATCTTCCTTGCCCCTGCCTCTGAAACAGCTGGATTACAGGTGTGCACCCACCATAACCAGGTTCTCCCTCATTATTCTTTTATGTTGGGGCAAGAGTGCAGTGAACTCAGGCTCTCATGATTGCTAGGTAGATGCTCTACCACTTGAGCTACTATGCCAGTCCATCCTTCATTATTCTTAATGTTACTGCCCTCATTATTTCTTGCCTAGACTATTAAAATAGCCTCTCAATGTGTAGCTTTCCCCATTCTGACCTATTTTCTGCATAACCACAACCATTCCCTAACTCACAATTTTTGCTATTAAAAAAAGGGACAATTGGTAAATTCTGAATAAGGCCTATAGATTAGAAAGTAACATTAAGTATACTGAGGCTTATGAAAGGATCTTCCTCATTTTATAAAATAAACACTGAAGTTGTCAGGAGTTAAGTGGCATGATGCCTGCAATGCACTCCAACAGTTCAGACAAAAATAGGGTGGGCAGCCTGGAAACATGGCTGAAGTGGTATAGCACTTCCTAGCAAGCACAAGGCCCCAAGTTCAAACTCCAAAAAAAAAAAAAGACTGAAAATGCACATGGGATGAAAGGAGAATCTGGGTGAAGATTATCTGGGAATTCTCTTACTTTCTGGAAACTTTTTTGTTTTAGTAAGGCGGGGTCTTGCCGTACAGTCCAGGCTGGCCTTGGACTTGCAATCCTGTCTTAGCTTTCTGAGTGCTGGTATAACAGCATTCACCACCATGATTGGCTTCTTGAAACTTTTAAGTTTGAAATTATTTCAAAACAAAAGTTTTTTGGTTTTTTTTTTTTTTTTTTAAAAACTCTAATGGCCCTTGGGGTGGGTGGTAAGGGAGGGGGGAGAAATGACCCAAACATTGTATGCACATATGAATAAAACAAACAAACAAACAAAAAAACCAAAAAAGAGAAAAAAACCCAAAAAACTCTTGTTAACACTATTCCTAAGTCACTTACATACATATATGTACTTTATAGTCACAAAGTAATCAATTTATTGTTACATATGCAGTACTATCTTTTTATTTTAGTGAAAGAATAAAATTTACAGATATGTATATATCTATGACACAGCTATGACATTGATTTTCTTTAAGAGACACACAGCTATACAGCACAGACAGCAAAGTACTCTTTGAACTACAAGACAATTATTTGAATTCTTTTCATTTAAAGAGTAATAAAGACAAAACATACACTCTCTAAGTCAATATAAAAGAATGAGTGAGACAACTCACAAAGAAAGAAGTATTCTGAGCTCAGAAGGGTGTGAAAAGTCAGAATAATCTGAAAAATACTGTATAATAACTCTTCATAGATGAAACGGCCATCCACATTCTGGGCAGTCTGAAAATGCAGCACTGATCTAAAGGAGTGAGAACTGGACCCTCTAAGCTGGTGGTAGTTTTACAGACTCTTTGAAAAAGTCATTCTCTAGAATCTAGGCTGAGACTCCTAGCTCAGTGTGATGAAAATTATTTTTGGGGGATGGGGTTTGAACTCAAGAGCATCATGCTTGCTAAATAGGCATTTTTCAGGTGAGACATACCTCCAGCCCAGAGATTTTTTTAAAGCATTTTAAGCATGGCTTTAGAGTTACAGAACTACCCTTAAACATCAACCCAAATTGACAGTTATAAGTATGACTTAACATTTGTGCCAAAAACAAAAACAAAAAACCACGTAGATACTAAAGCAGCATTCTAATAAATTGTTTACTACAACTAATTATCAACTTTCTAGCACTAGTATTCCACAATATATCTAAACTAGTAACTATAATTAACTCAAAACACCATTTAAACCACAAAAACAAAACACCTTTGCCAGGCACAGTGCCATGAATCCATAGTCACAAACACTTGCAAGCTTGACGCAGGAAGGTAACGTCAACACAAGAGTTTAGAGACTAGCCTAGGCAACACAGCTGACTGTAACTGAACAAACAAACAATAAGCTGGGTGCTGGCAGCTCATGCCTATGATCCTAATACTTGGGATGTTGAACTGCAGTTCCAAGCCAGCCCGAGCAATAGCTGAGTGCAGTGATGTGTGCTTACCATCCCAAGCTATGTGGGAGACTGAGATTGGGAGGACAAAGCATGCAAGCATGCAAGACTCCATCTCAATGGAGGAAAGCACACTTGTCATCCTGGCGATGGTGGGAAGCTTAAGAAGACTGATGGAAGTCCAGGTTAGTTTAGACAAAAAGCAAGAACCTACCTCCAAAACAAAGCATGAGGGCTGGAGGTGAGTGCCTGTCTACTAACTGCAAAGCTCTGGGTTCAAACTCCAGTACCACCAAAGTCAAACAAAACACCTAATTAACATTATGAAAGGAGGTTACAAAACATTTCAAAATAATCTTTTAGAAAACAGAATGTATGGATGGCACTAAAATTGGTATACTGAAATATTTTCAATATAATTCTCAGCCTTTTGAAAATGACTACATTCAGTAATATAACATATGAAAAAGAAAAATGATAAACTCAACTCACCAGCAATTTCTACAATGTCACCGGGAACTATGTCTTTAGCTTTAATCCGCTGTACACTCTTTCTGTCCTGTCGGTACACTTTGCCCATTTCAGGTTCATACTCCTTAAGGGCTTCTATTGCATTTTCAGCATTTCTTTCCTGTATTAAAGAAAACAGATGACAAACATAGTAAATACCTCTCTGCCACTGTAATTATTTCTAGCCCAGGAATTAAAATATTAGAGTATTAATCTAAAAAGACAAAGAAGCAAAGAAAACAGAAGTAATTTTTTTTTTTTTGGTACTGGGGTTTGAACTCAGGCTTTACATCTGCTAGGAAGGCGCTCTACCACTTGAGCTATACCTCTAGCACCAGAAGTACATAGACTTACATCCTAAGGCAATGAACATTTTGCCAGGGCACTTATAATTATGTACTAACACATAACACTTATGTAGTAAAAATGAAAAGATAAGTCAGGCCTGTGGTGCACACCGATAATCCCAGCACTTGAAAGGCTGAGGTAAGAGGATTGTGGAGTTTGAGGCAAACCTGGTCTACACAGAGACCCTGTCTCAAAAAAACAAAAAGAAAACACAAACACCCCAAGAAAGGGATAAACTATAATGCAGAACACAGCCCTCGCCTCTAGTTACATACACCCATACCATTTAACCTGAAACTAGTCTGGGGCTAGACTGCCTAGGTTCCATCCAGGCTCTTCCATTGAACAGCTATGTGATTGTGGATAAGTTACACAACACACAGGTCTGCTGCCTATAAAATGAGTACACTATTACCTATACCGAAAGGGTTGTAAGGATTATTTTATGTAAAATGGTCAGGCAAGGTTTTAGCACAGAGTAAATGCTATGAGCAATGAACTGGGGTTGGGGGGGGGGGAACACATGATGTCACAATTCTAAGAACTACCACTCCAATGGTAAAGACAAAAGAATTACTGGAATTTCACTGTAGCACTGCCAGTCACATACTGTGTGTACTGTATATGAACATATCAAGACTTTAGGCTTTTTTATTTTTCAATTTCAAAGTGAAAAGGAACAGAATTAAATTTGCCTGAAGAAAACTAAATGACACAAAAAAAAGCAAGCATCACACATGCCTCACTTTTGATGCATACAACCCCAAAAAGTATAGGAGAAAATAAATTTAGGAATTTCATGATAAAATAGCCATCACTTTCTCAATGAAGAGAAATATTAGAATATTTAACTATAATATGACTACAGTAAAGGTAGTATTCTAAATGCAAATGCTATTAATTACTGGAGGAAGAATAAATTTGGAGCATGGGTGCTCCTCAATTAGTCAAATTTAGATCAAACTGCTTTCCCCCAAGTTTATGAATCATGGTAGTTTTGCTTTTTTTTTCCCCTCACTTTTCAAAATCATGTCGGGTAGGTGGACTGCTCAAGGCTAAGGGATTTTTTGGCAGTATTGGGACTTGAACTCAGGGACTCAGGCTTTGTTAGGCAGGCGCTCTATTACTTGAGCCATTCTGCCACCCATAAGTGCAATTAGATAAATGACATATGCCAGGCCCTGAGGACAAAAAAAGATGACAAAATCAATTATATGGCTTATCCTGTCCCCCCAACTCAATTAAAACTATCATAAAGGGTATTTAGAGTGAGCACACAGGGAAAAGGAAACACATGATCATAGATTTAAATCAGTTTTACTGAAAACAGTACTCGAAGAAATAAATACACCTGACTTACTATAAACACAAAGATAACTTACTGTCTTGTAAGTTCTAACCCCTTTCATTTATCTCTCCCATTCATATCCAAATTGGCCTAAACATTATTTCTCAAACAAACTTGGTACCTTTCTGCTCATTCTACTCCCCCTCTGAATCATCTCCCTAGCTTCCACCCATAAAACTCCTTTTCTTTTTAGTTCCCAATTTCACATCATTACCCGAGAAGTCTTCCTGATGATACTAGTCAGAAATGTTATATACCCCAAACACTACCTCACACTGTAATTATATTTTATATCCCTTTTTTCCAGAAGGAGAGAGCCCTCCAGGATTGCTCATACCAGCTAGTATACTATGGTAATGTGAAAACTGCTATAAAATTTCATTCTGGATTTCAGCCTGGACCTGGGTTCAAATCCAAGATTCGTTATGTTAATACCTGTATGAACTTTGGTAAATCACTTAATTGCTCTGGACCTCAACATTCTGTATGTCTAATGTGAATAATATCCTCTGCTTCACAAGATCATTGTAAGGGAGAGAGAAATGAAAACGTACACCACGTACCAACCACAAGTGACATAAACTATTTAGTAAAAAACGAGTAGCTGGGAGTGTAGCTCAGTGATAGACTGTGCTCAGCATGTGTGAGGTCCTGAGCTCAATCCCTAGCACCGTAAATAATAAAAATAACTAAATAAAAAAATTTTAAAAGAAAAGAAACACAACACAATTGAAAGCCAGGTGTGGTGGTGCAGCACTCGGGAGGTTGAGTTCAAGCTAAGTATGGGTTGCATAGCAAGACCCTGTTTGAAAAGAAAAACAATAGACAGCATGAGGCCCTGAGTTATATATCCAGCACCACAAAAAAGAAAAAAAACTTTCTCTTAAGTAGGTCATTTTTCTAAATGAGCCCAACATATAAAGATGTGATGTATGATGACAGATACATTAGTCCCAATATTTGTTAAAATCTAACCAAAAGACCAAATAGATCAACAGTTCTAAAAAAGTTCAAGTCCTCAAGTGGATACCTGCAGTAGTACAATTAAGTAAAGGGGTGCCACCATGTTCCTGTAGGAAAAATAGGTTTCTTTCTCTGAGAAGGAAAAGTGTGGCCAATCAAGGAAAAACAGCCAGGAATGAGCTCTACAAAACAACTTAGGATGCAAAGAATTTTTATAGCTAAATTTCCCCCACTAAATCCAAGAATAATAAGATGACCTAGAGTTCATGGAATTTGTCAGAGAAAGCAACTAAAAAATACAGGTAGGTGTTAGTTATTGAATTTTCTGGTTTCCTTAAGTAGCTTTTCTAATCTTTTTTCCTCTTCTCTCCTTCCTTTTTTCTGAGATAGGGTCTTGCTGTGTTGCTCAGTCTGTTCTCAAATTTCTGGGCTCAAGTCAACTCCAACCTCAGCTCCTGGGTGTTAAGACTACAGGCAAGCACCACTATGCCCGGCTTCTCGTCTGTTCTCTTCCCTTTAAGGTCCTGGGATGGAACCCATGGCCTTGTGCATGGTAGGCATGTGTTACAACATTAAGAAACATTTCTAGCCCTTCCCATCTATTTTCTTAACTGCTTGTTACAACAAAGAACAAAGGATTTTAATAGCAAAATATATATGCATAAGAGGTTTAAAATTTGCCATTAAATTAATGAACAAAAGAAAAAATATATTAGTTTCAGACATATTTTTATGCAACATAGGAAAAATAGATTAACAAGATAAATGTAGTTTAAAGACACTTCTATAAATTACTAAAATTTAGCACTGCAGGAATTTTTGCTTACCTGCCATACACCCACAATTGCGTTGGCTACTAATATCAACAGAATTACAAAAGGTTCTACAAAGGCTGTAATAGTTTCTTCACCTTCTTCAAACCAAGCTAAAACCTAGAAAGAGAAGTAGCATGTGTTAGACCTGATCGTGTGCTTTTAGACTCAGTGCCACTCTGAATGACAAATGTGGCTGGCATTAAATGAACTGTAATAGACAAAAATCTCTTTTCTTACATTTTCTTGAAGCAAATGGAGGCAAAATGTAATGATATAAGCAACCAGCCTATGTTCTGCTCCTAATTACAACTGGGAATCAAAACTATGTAACTTTTTAGTAACAACCTAAGAGCAAAATTATTTTTTTGATGTAGTTAATTCTGTTTTAGAACCCAAATAAAATATCCTTTGGGGAGAGGAGGGAGAGATAAATTTTATTTCATAAATATGTATTTAAAAAAATTAAAACTTGAAAGTCCTGATTTTATTAAAAAGGCTAACATCAACATTCATGTTGATTTGGTTAATATGCATATGGAGTAACACCTATGTATGGCACAAATTCATAATAAAATTTCACCATGGACCCAAATTCAGAGTATAGAAACTGTTAATGCCCTAATTATTTTTACTAGTTTTAGTGAAGGCTACCTCAGAATTACTACAAGGTTGTTCTGACATCAGGAACATTTTGAAGGATCTAACCATGTAAATAGCTAGTATAGTAATATAGCACTGCAGAGATGAGTTTACCTTAAGAAAGGAGGCTGCTAGTTCAAGGCCAGCCTGGGTCACATGTCAAGACCCTCTCTACCATCTCCCCAAACAACTAAGTAAGCAGTCAGGTTGTACTTCATAATTAAGCAATGAATTTTTTTTTTTTTTTTTTTGGCAGCACTGGGGTTTGAACTCAGGGCCTCACACTTGATAAGTAGGCTCTTTTACTGCTTGAACCACCCCACCAGCCCTTTTTTTTGTGGTGGGCTTTTTGAGATAGGGTCTCAAGGACTATTTGGCTGGCTGGCTTTGAATGATCTGTGGCTCCTGAGTAGTTAGGATTACAAGGGTAAGCCACCAGTGGCCAGCTCAAGCAATGAATCTGAATGGTTAAAAACTTAACAAGGACCAGGTCCTGACAAATGTCAATTGCCAATGGCAATTTTTGTGAAAACCTGCCAAACCTAAAGATTGGATCTGGGAGATAAAGTTTGCTCTTAAAAAAAAAACCCAAAAAACTGTTTAAAATGTGCGTATTTCACAATAAAATATTTTTCTTTACAGATTCCGTTATTTAGTAAACACTGAAAGCACTCTTTTTGGTAAGATTCATGGCAATAATGAAACCACCTGACTAAATCTGTACTTAGTGGAATACTATATAACGTTATTTTTTACACAAATAGCAAATGACCCAAAAGATGATTAAGGAAAGGCCCAATATGAATATTGCTAGTACAGAAGGTAATTTTGAATAAATAATCAATTAAGTCAATTAAAAAAATAATGGGGAAAAACAAAACAGGAAGCACCAGGTCCTGACATATGCCAATCACCACTAACAACTAGGGCAGGCAGAAAACCAGAATGAATATGATAAATGCTATAGCCAGCTTTCAACAGGGCATTCCCAGTGTTAAGACCAGGCCTAAGGCCAGAATGAAAACTTCTCTAGGAAGTTATAAATTTTGATAGATGCAGGATCACTAGCCTTCCAAACATTTGCCAAGGAGAGCATATCAGAAATAAGAAACTTAATTAATTCTTAAGGGAGAAAAATTGCTCAACTTAAAGAGTGACTAGGGCCTTTCCAAAAGGTCAGTGAGGCATTAGCAACTCTAAGATAAGTTTCACACCTTGTTAAAGTGGGTATGAATTTCCTTCTTGGCAACCAAGCCTTGGGGATAAACTTAGAGCAACAACTCTTAACAGCTGGAGCAAAACAAAACAACTGAGGCAAGCAGAGTCAGGACTATCAGAGTAAATTTGAGCTTTTCAAGAAATGCACACTCTAAGCCTGGGCTGGTGCCTCTTGCCTGTAATCCTAGCTACTCAGGAGGCAGAGAGCTGGAGGATCAAGTTTGAAGCCAGACCGGGCAAATAGTTCAAGAGCCCCTATTCAAAGAAACCAGCCACAAAAAAAGGTTGGTGGAGTGGCTCAAGGTGTAGGTCCCGAGTTCAAACTCCAGTACTAAAAAAAGGAAAAAAAAAAAAAAAGAAAGAAAAGAAAAGACAAAAAGTGCAGACTCTGGATTGCTGGAGAGGCTCAAGTAACAAAGAACCTCAAGCATGAGGCTCTGAGTTCAACACCACCCCACTCATCCACGGCCCGTACTGGGAAAAAAAAAAAAGAGGTTGGGAACATGGCTTAAGGGGTAAGGCTCCTACCTTCCTTCCTACCTAGCAAATACAAGGCCCTGAGATCAAATCCCAGTACTGCCCTCCCCCCAAAAGCACACTCTTTTTCACCAGTGGTATTTATTAAAGAATCCTAACTGGTGCATTGCAATAGCCTTTTCTTTTACATGACAGTAACTGTTTTCGTGTAGGAAACAGGCAATTCATATACTTATTTGAAGGTTCTACAGAATTAAATGCTACAGCCCAAGATGAAAATGAACCACATTTAATTAACCCAATCCATATTTAGATCATATTGTGTCTTTAATTGTATGTTCCATTGATAAGAAACCTCTTAGGTTGAGTAAGTAGGAAGATAATGCTGGCAAGAGTTCATGAGATGGGGTACAGGGTAAAGGAAAGAGGAAAACTGGATGAATATTATTATTGAAATGCAAGATGCCTTATTAGCATTGTGGTAATATCAATTCATAAATACAGTTTATCTTACATTTTATATACAAAATATATTTATACAGGAGAGAGGGGAAGTGTGTCCAAAAATCAAGAATAGGTTGACCATAAAGGATTATCTGTATTACCTTCTGTTCACAGTTGTATCCCTAAGGGCTAGAAGAGTCTCCTTGTATATGATTCATGTAGGGAAACAAAGAAATGAAACAGAATCTCATACAACCTTTAAGGTCCTAAGTGACAGTATATGGACTTAAACATGAAGATAGCATAAAGGTAACAAACACTTCACAAAACAATTGCCAAGGAAAGTGGGAGAAAAGGCTACAGTGTTATTTTTGGCACAGTATATCTTCTTTCCTCCTCTTTAAACTGTACTTCCAGCTAGTTCAACTTTTGCTAATACTATTCAAAAGTAACCATCTGCTAATGAACACTCAACTACATTTTTTGTTTTAGCAAGCTAAGATAGGGTATCTTTCAATTGTTATCCACAAGGTTAATCAGAAACTTGTTTAGTAGGCTGGAGGCCATGGGTTTGATCCCAGCATCAAAAAATGGCACTATAACACTGCTAATTCTAGGTAAAAAATGGCCTCCTTATTGGGAGACAGTCATGATGTATGGGATGAGCTCTTAACAAGACCCTAAGAAGGTAAGAGGAGACTAGGGTATAACTCAGTGGAGCACATGCGTGCAAAAGGCCCTGGGGGTTCGATGCCCAGCACCACTACCCTAAAAAGGTAACAAAGCTCACAAGCACTTTCTGTTCCTCCTTGTATCTTCAGAAACCTGCACTGTGCCTTTGGGCATTTAAACACTACCTCAATAAATGAAGAAATTTATAGTAAGAATTTTACAAGGAGGAAACAGAAATTAAACACTTTATTAAAATGATACAATAAGTTGTTATAATTTTCTGGGATGGGAAACAAAATTCTTACAGGCATTAAGAAAAAAACAAACACACACCTGAATTAGAGCTCAAACAAACCTTATGTAAAAACATTTCAATGTCCTCAGGCTTACTACATTTCTTTTTTGGTGGGACTGGAGTTTGAACTCAGGGCTTTGCACTTACAATGCAGGTGATCTACCGCTTGAACCATACCTCCAGTGCATTTTTCTCTAGTTATTTTGGAGATGGGATCTCATAAGCCAAGGCTGCTCTCAAGCTGAGCTTCCCAAGTAGCTAGGAATACAGGTGTGAGCCACCAGCTCCCAGCTTAATACATTTTTAAAGAGTATACTAGAACTGGGTAAAGTAGTGCACACCAGTCATCCCAATGTTCAAAAGGCTGAGGCAAAGGTCTGGGACTTCTAGACCAGCCTGTGCTATCTAGCAAGACCTTGTCTAAAGCAAACAAAAATACACAATATGGCTGGAGGTATAGCTCAGCAGTAAGAGTACAAGACCCTGGGTTCCATCCCCAGCACAGGGAAAGAAAAAGAAAACAGCATACCGTAAGTATATGAAAAAAGGAAGAAAAACCCCAACCAAACAAAAACCTTCAAACCAAGGCTCCAGTCAGGTACCAGTGGCTCCTGAGTATAATCCTAGCTACGTGGGATGCTGAGATCAGGAGGATCCTAACCAGCTCAGGAACCCCATCCCCAAAACAACCAGAGCAAAACGGACTGGAGGTAGAATGTCTGCTTTGCAAGTGCAAAACCCTCAAATCAAACTCCAGTTACACACACACACACAGGCTCTCTACTAAACCAAATTAGTAAACTGCCCATGTTACTCCATTTTTAAAATAAGAAATTAAAATAAGAAAAAAATCTTAAACTACATCATGCAAGGTCAAACACTTCCTGAAAAAACTGCCCTGAGAAAAAACAAAGTAAACAAATTCTAAATATTTTGGTGTCAGATTTGTTTGGTGGTCCTGGGTTTGAACTCAAGACTTCACACTTGCAAAGCAGATGCTTTACAGCTTGAGCCACACCTCCAATCTTGTTGGCAAATCTGTTTCTTTTTCTTTTTTTGGTGGTACTAGGGTTTGAACTCTGGGCCTCATGCTTGATAGGCAGATGCTCTTACCACTTGAGCCACTCTGCCAGTCCTACAAATTCTAAATATTTTGAAAATGCTATAGAAATAAATTCATCTGAATACTTGAGACACTGAAAAGTTGAGAAATGCCATAATCTAGAAAGTTTTATTAGCATTTGAGGACAATCTAAATACCCAAGGTAGGAAATGGGGGCAGAGAGAGGAGAAAACCTATGCAAAATTGTCATCAGAAAGAAAGGACTACACGATCTAGACAGATAGGAATGAGACCAGTGGCCCTAATGCTGTTCACCTCCTTTAGTCTTTTCTAAATGTCACCTGCTGGGGTCATGGCCAGAGTGGCAGAGTGCTTGCCTAACAAGTAGAAGCCCAGAGTTCAAACCCCAGAACTGTAAATGTCACCTTCTTAAGAGGACTTATTCAAAAACTGTAGGGTCCCCACAGGTATGCCCATATTAAGCACCCTATGCTGTATTTTTCTCAACTGTTGTAGTCTCAGGTAAGGGACTTTGTACATTTTGTTAGCTGCTGTATCCCCAGCGTCTGTGGCAGGTACTCAACAGAGAGAGAGGAAGGAGTGGGCAGGCAGTTAGGCAACCACGTGATGTGTTACACTTAAGGCAAAGTTGGTAACCAGTCTTGAATTAAAGAATTTTCAATGTCCACATGGAAAGGAAGATGTTAAGCTGATTTCCAATCCAAGTGACCTTTCAAAAAAAATTTCACTGACTATTACAAATTAATTAAACTAACCCCATGGGCCACAATATAAAACATTAATGCAGTTTCTTGCTGCAGGAAAATATTAACTGTGGTAAGTTTATTACTCAGTTTAATGTTTGAAATAAATCAACTAATATTCTTTTCAAACTGAACAGGGCCAGGACCTGATGATTTATTATGTATGTAACAACTGCCTATTCACTTCTGCAAAACAAACTATCACCATGCTTTTTCTGTCAAGCCAATAGGAATATACTGACTACCACAAAACACTCAGTGCTTTTTTCAAAGATAAAAGAAATGAGGAATGAAAAGGTCAAGTACAATGTAGTACAGTGTCAACCTCCCATGAAGAATATCAACAAAACTGATCTTCTAGCCATGATTTTTTTAAATCAAACAGATTAAGTGAAATGTAACATAGTTCATTTCCTGAGCAGTAATTCCAAAAGTAGTTATCAAAAAGAAACTCAAAATTTCAACTCCAAAACACAGTTCTAAAAAAGCAACGTCCTACATCATGAAAATACTTTAGCATTTACTTTAAAATACATTTGAAAAAACTCCTAATTAAAACACACACACCCCATTAATTCTACTTGCTAATATAGTCACTCAACTTGACCATTCAAAAAACACTCTATGAAACTCTTGTTTACTGCCACATCAGTGGTAGGATTTCCAACACTCCTTGAAGTTATAACACAGAATTTAGTAAAAACTTATTTGGCCTTTGGCTTGTATTTATCAGCTGATTAGCCTCTAAGAGCTCCCTGATGACAGTGAATGCCATTATTCAACTGCCAAAATTGAGACTATTTCAGAATTATGTAGCCACAAATGTGAACCTTGAACTACCCCCAAATATATCATTTATTTTGCCCCATGGCAATGCACTGAAATTATACTTAATAAAACAGCTCTACTCATTTATCTTATTTGGTAAAACAGCAGCCATTTATTGAGGGAAATTTTTTTTTTAATTAATCATGGACATGTAAGAGGTACATGAGTGACTGATTCCATATGCTGAATGGTTTTCTATCACAGTCTCAACTGTATTCAATGAAAACCACAGGAAGGATTCTTGGGAACTGAATTATTAATGGCTACCCACCATTTAGCTAACATATATTAAAGTCTCAAGGCAGAATTCACATAATTACTCCAAAAGGCCACCTCTTTCTACTTTAAAAAAATGGGTACAAAAGTAATCTTTCCCTCACCTGAACTAGATAAATGCCTGCGCTGCTTTGTTTATTTAGTTCTCAAAACAGTCCTGTGGCTATCATGGATCTCTGGGGCTTAGGAGTGTACAGATGTACATAATGACACCTTAAAGTTGTATCAATTTTTCGAAACCTGAATAAAAGTACTGCACTGATTTTCACTTCCTGCTACAGTTGGTTTTGTAGGAACACTTTAAGAACAAAAGGCACCTCATGCTGACAGGATTAAGAACATCTGTGCCCAACGCATGACCATTTTTAGGAAAACTACCAAGAAGTCTACTGGCCAAAGAGAAAAAAATGCATTGAAAAACACTAAACAGAAGAAAAATGTTCAAATATCCTTGCCTCCATCACCTTTTTTTTTTTCTGCTGTAGTTCTTTGCATTTCACTAGTTTCTTAGCAACCCATACAGGACTCAAGCAAGCAAGCACATACAACACAAGAAAAAACACTAAGCTTGCTATTCTTTTTTTTTTTTTTTAAATATTTATAACAAACCACACTGAACCTTGTTCTCTCAATCTAGCAATCACTCAAAACTGGGGGTCCAATTTAGATACATATACTACCCTAAAGGTCAGTGACCAAATTTGGTCAACAGTAGTGCCATCACTGCCGTCATCATTCTTGTCACTGTCAGGAACAACTGTCACCTTGCCACTACCAGGAAGGGAAAGCAACTAGAATATTCCTTTTGTAAGTTCTATTTAGAGACTACAAAGAGTCCAACATCATCTTAGTATGATCTTACAACGAGATAACAATTGAAAAACCCAAAACAGAAAGTTTCCCAATAAAAAACTTTTTGATAGTAAAAGCTAATAAGCTACAAGAATTTACAAGACTCTGCATTCAGTAACAATTTCTCACTGCAATGTAAATGCCAGGCATCTATTTTCTGAACAAAATACTTTCAAGTTTTTGTTTAGAATGTTAAGAACATGTAGGTTATTTTGTTTTTAAGCCTGAAGACACAGCCTAAATCTCTGAATGCTTTCACCCATCAGCAATCACTTGCTTTCTGGTTTATCTATGGAATACTTTCAGCTTTTGGGAAACAGAGAAAATAATTTTTTAAAGATATACTTACAAAAGATATACATGCTGCCAGCAATAAAATTCTAACTAGTAGGTCTTCAAACTGCTCAATCACAAGTTCCAGCAAGGTTTTTCCTGTTAGAAATAAAGGTATTTGTCTTAATTATCAGCTCACCATCAGCACATGCGCACACACAAATAACATGCTAAGATTACTTACCTTCTTCTGCTGGTAACTCTGTACAGTGCAGAAATTCACCAGGCAACATGTCAAGAGGGGAGGAAAAAAAAGACATTTTAGCACTGTTTCTTTCTACAAAGAACTGCTGAAATCATGTAAGCATGGTCTTTGAGACCTGGCTGTATGAACGTTCAATCTGCCCGCCCACCCCTACCCCAATAGAAAGCATCCTAAAATGATACCCCAAGAAAACGTGCAGTACTCATTAACCAATGCCCTGGAGTCGGCTTGGTCAAACCATTCACGGTTCCTGAAACGAGCAGTCGTTTCAGCGAGGTCATCATTTCTGCCAGATGTGTAACTCTCAGTAGTACAAGAACCGCCAGAGGTTTCTCAACTACGGACGCCTCATAAACCGGCTGGGGCCTGTAAACCCTGAACTCGGGAGGAAGGAGCAGGAGGACTGTGAGTTCGAGGCAAGCCTGGGCTACAAGAACAGACCCCACTCTCCAAAAAGAAAAATAGTAACAATAATAATAATAGTAACAATAAATAAGACAAAAAAACCAATCGGCTGGGAACGAGCAGAGTCTCGCAGGGCTTGACCCAGCTACATGGGGCTGACCCCGAGGAAGCTGCGTGCGGGGAAGGTCAAGGGCTCGAGACCCCTGGAGGTCGGGGGGGAGGAGGCCGGACCCAGCCGCGGGACCCCGCCCGCAGGCGATCGGCAGCCCGCAGCAGTCGGCGGGCGCCGAGCCGAGACCCACGAGGTGGAGCTCGGTCAGCCATCTTCCCTGTAGCTCTCGGGCCTGCGCCCCGGCCGCTGCAGCCCGGCACCGGGCAACCTACCGTTGGAGCCCCATCTCTCCTTGAGCTTCTTGACCTGCTCCAGGCTCAGCCCTGTGCTCTCGTTGACACCGAAGTGGCCCAGCACCTCCTCCACCGTCTTTGTGTGTGCGTTCTCCATGACTGCAGGGGCCCGGCCGCTCTCGCCTCGCGTCCCCGCGGCCTCCTCGCCTCCGCCTTGCACTCGGGCCGCGGGCTCGTGCCACCCCGAGCGCCCAGGCGCGGACCGCTGTCTCCCCCGCCCTCCTCCTCGGCCGCTTCCGCCTGGCCGATCGGGCGCTGAATCACCCGCGCCCCCTCCCCCAGACAACCGCCCCTCGCACGCCCCGGCCTGGCCGGAGCCCGCTCCGGCTCCGCTGGGCAAGTGGGGGAGGGGGGGCTCCGACCCTCGTCAAAAAAGAGGGTCTCCTTCGCTTTCAACCGCCCGCGGGGAGCGCAGGCCGCGGTCCCCGAGCCCCCTCCCCGCTCCTCTGAGATGATCCGCGGCCCCGCCCGAGCTGGAGGAGGGGGCGTCCGGCCGACCCCTCAGGGCGGAACACTGCCAGTGAGGCAAAGCCGGCGGGGAGGTGCGCGGCGCGCTCGCCCGGGTCCCTCAGTTCCGCACCCCCGACAGCAGCGGAGGAAACTGCGGCGGCGGCAGCTGAAGAGAAGGAGGTGGCGTCGGGGACGACTCCTCGGCGGCTGCTCTAATAGCATTTATCGGCCGCTGCCTCCCCTCTCGCCGCTGCCGCGGCATGTGGACGCTGCTCATTGGCCAAAAGCGCCCAGCGCGGCGCGGGCGGCGCGGCCCCGCCCCCTACCCCCTCCCGGGCGCGCGCGCACGCGCTGCGCGCCCACGGCGCCATCAGGCTCCGCCCCCTCCTGTGCACCGCCCCCAGGAACCCGGATCGAGGCCGCGCGCGTCGCGCTGTAGCGGTGGGTCGTGGCCAGGGGGTCTCTGCTGTGGGCATGCTCAACCCTCTTCTGCTTGGGGTCTTCCCGTCCCATCCACCTGCAGGAGTGGGGCGGAGGGCTCACGGTAGGCACCTTGAACTCGCTGCCCCGAGGTCCGCCGGGGGCCGCGTGGTGCCGGAAAGGGGAGGGAGCGCAGTCCACGTTGGGCGTCCCCGAGGCGCGCTCGGGCTAGCGTCCTTGGCTCGCCTCCTCGCGCTCGGCAGCCCGGGCCGCGCTCTGCATCCTGATCTGTCTCCTTGAGAGCCCCCCTCAGGAACCAAAGAGAGGAATTCCGCAGTTCCCTTCCCACACAGCCAAAATCCCTCATCTGTCACCTTAGGAACATCGCATCCCACATTCCCAGCCGAGAACCTCATCTCCATCGCACGCCAACCCCAGCCCTTCCTTCCCCTGCGGGTTCTGTGCCCCGACTGAGGGAATCCCACTGTGGGGGCAGGAGAGAGGTTTTACTTCATTTTTCATAGCCCACCCAGCCGGGGATGCATGTCTGCATAGAAGTCACACGTTATGCTACTGTAGGCTAGGCAACAGCTAGACTTGTGCTAGAGGTAGAGGCTATGACATTAAGATGAAGGCTGTTTTATAGCTTTCCACTAACCCAATAAGGAAAAAAACCTTTAATCCAAAACGTATTCTTAAGCCACAAATAATTTGCTCTGCTGGTGAGGTCTGTACAAAGCCTAGGTCACAGAGAATTTTGCCAATGTAAAGAAGTCACGCTACTTAGGGGGAAGGCACCTTCGCATTGAATTCATGAACCTTTTGGTTGACAAAAAGGGAAAGCTTTTTGAAGGGAAAAGGTTACAGAACGAAACACATAGTCTACTTTGTGTTTAGCCATAGGGCACCATTTACATGAGCAAAAAAAGAGCAAACAAAAACCACCAGTTGTCCAACAGGGCTTTCCTCCTTGGAGATGCAAATCACACTGCATTAATTACCCAGCTGAAAAAATCAGGCACGTCATTTCATTTAATTATTTCCAAGGAGTGGAGGCTGGCATGGAGTTCTGATTGATACTTGGAAAAGGACCAACAAAACCCTACATGAAATAAACAAAAATTCCAGTGTAGGGCAATGCCTGCTTAGGAGAAGCAAAGTGGAAACTGGTTAGGTGACAGCCTCTTAGGAGGGGCACATGACTGCACTATGGGGGCGTGGTAATGGAGGGTTGATGGGTCTTCCCCTCTGAACAGAGCTGTGCACCTTTTCTTTCCAAGTCTTCTGCTTCCCCACATCTCTTTCAGCACCAATAGGGGCACCGCAGCCAGGAGTTATTGTTCCCCTTCTCGGCCTGGGAATTGTCTTAGGCATTTAATTTTGGGTCTCTTCTTAGCCTCTTCCATCCTCTTCTGGGCTGGGAGGGGTTCCTGACTTCAACCTTTGTGTGGAATGTTCTTCCCTGGGGTATTCCAGCAGCTCTTCCAGTGCCTCCTGCTAATTATCATTCAAATCACAGCTTCTAAGTCCCCATCCTCAGAGATGCCTTTGCTGATAATCTAAAGTGGCTCCCCTCCCCAGTTCACATATTATTCAGGATTTTTTCTCCAGCACTTCTCTCTGATACTGTATTTTTGTTTGGCTGTTTATCACCTGTCTCCTGACTCTTGTGGAGTCCCATCATTCAAGCTCCAGGAGAACAGGGCTTGTCTGTCTTGTTCACCCTCCATACACAGCACAGTCCCATAGCTTGAACAGCTGTTGTTTGAATGAGCCTCACCATCCCCAACCCATCAGTAATTTGCAAAGGGTTTCAACCATAGGAGAGCCTCAGCAAATTTTTGCTGAAGTGAAGTTCACTGATTTACATTTGTGGGAAAAAAAAAAAAAAAAAAGAGGGCCTCTGAACTACTTGCCTGTAGCTGTGAAGGTTGGGTTTAAAACAAACATACATTAGGTGACATTTCATGATTGGTTTCTCAGAGATAAGAAAGGCATCCATTCACATTGGCACTATTACCACAGTCCATAGCCTCCTAGACTGTTCTTTACATGTTCTCCCCACGCCCCCACAAGAGGCCGGAATACTCCCTTAAACTGAAACAGTGCAATTTTAAGGCTAGAATTGGTCCCGTGTAGATTATCAGACCAAACATGCCCCTGGTTCCTCAGCCTGCTGGCATCTCTGAAACCTCTTGTTTATAGGTTCCAAAATTGATCATAAACCCAGCCTCCTCCAAAGGCAGAAATATCTGGTTGCTCTTCTGTGGAAATAAACTTGTGCTCAATTCATTTTAAGCATTGTGTTATACTTGCTTCTTGTTAACAAGGCTTTCAAAGAGTAAGGATAGCTTTTAGGACTATTTTTCAGCAAGGACTGCGACCTTATTCAATTGATTGAGAATGGGGAGGGAGAAAAAAAGGAGGAACTGTGATTCTGAAAGATGAGTGATTTCATCAAAGACGTTTAAAGACATTAATAAAGGAGGATATTAGCTGGTACAAGACAGGCTGATTTAAAAAGCTAGCCAGACAGAAAAAGGCCAGTAGAAAGAGTGACTTGCAAGAGGCCCCAGCCAGCTTCCCAACACCTCTTCAGCCCTCCTGTAAAGTGACAGAGATTGTAAAAGGCAGCCTGTTCCATATTTGGACAGCTCTAATCATTAAAACAGTCCCATTCTGGGCTGAATCCACCTCCACCTTAGGTACTTCCATACAGTGACTGTTGTTTAGCCCTCAAAAACTGCTCAGAACAAGATTAATCCCTCTTCTGGGTGAGATCCCTTTGAGTATTTCGAGATCTCTGTTGCACTCAAAGTCTTTTTTCCTAACCAAAAAGAACAGCTTGGTCCCTGAGCTATCTTCCTGTAGTGTGAGGCTTAATTCTTCAGTGTCATTGCCTCCAGTTCTGAAGACACCCAATACTGAACACAGCAGTGTGGCCATGGTCTTGTGTTTTCACTGCCCACCTTTGTTCTGGGTCCTTTTCCCTATATATTGATTTGTGGTAGCAATCAACTCAGAATCCTTTATACACAAACTGTGGTCATTATGTACTTAGATTTTTTTTTTTTAACCCAGGCACCGAACTCTGCATATAATTGAATGTTCTCATACGCATTTGGGCCCATCGGAACTCTGCATATAATTGAATGTTCTCATACGCATTTGGGCCCATCCATAGAATCTGCTCTAGTCTCTCTCAGTCTTCATCTTGAAGCAATACTTTAGCTATACATCCCAGGTTTGAGTTACACACAATACTATATGCATGACTTCTATGTCTCCAGCTGATACAATTGCTAGATGTTCACTGCAGACTGAGGATAGTCAATCAAGTAGACTTAATTATTCCACCATAATAAAATATCTTGACCACAGGTTCCAAAGTTGAGAAAGAAAAGATCTTAAAAGACACTTTTGGATACTCATCCCCATGATATTTTGTTATACAATGTTGGAACACATCATTCTTCCTTTGGTTGAGCACTTGAGGTAGTTGGGCCTGGCCTGGGTGAGGGTCACGTTGTATGAAAAATACACATTTGTGCACTAGAACCAGAATTATCACAGTAAGATGCTTTACAGAGAGGCCAGTGGGTGATAAGGCTTCTGACAGTCCCATCTGTCATTTCTTGCTTGCTCTGGGATGCATGCTTGTTAAATGGAATGATGCCTGAATAACCCCACTATTGATTTTTTTTTTTTTAAAGACAGGGCTTCACTATGTAGCCCTGGCTCCAAACTGGTGATCCTCTTGCCTCAGCCACCCAAGTGCTGGGATTATAGGCATGAGCCACCATGCCTGGCTGGTGTGAATTTAATGTGAGGACTACACTCTGGAATCTCCATTCTGGTGATCCCATGGAAGCATGTTAACATTGGCGTGACTTGTGTTGGTGAACACACACTAACACCTGATGACCACCTGTTTCTACATGGTTCCAGAACTTGCCTAACTTAATAGAACATCTTTCCCAGAATCCCTCCCTGTTGCCCGCATTAGTAAGCATTCTTTTGATGGCAAAGTATTGAAAGCTCCAATTCTTAGCCAATGGTTATAGAAGAGGGACTTAGTAGGGGTAAACTACAAACTCACAAACACTTGATCCAGTACTCAAGAAAAGTCACCAAGAACCTTGACTCTGCCCCACTGTCTCCAGTTTATGACTAACCAGTTTCAATAGAGATTTCAGGGGAGGAAAGATGTGAGATTTTTCTCTGAGTCCTGTGCCCACCCCTGGAAGCAGACTGTGGTGACCCCCATTGTTGTTCATGATGGAGAGTGGGAAGATAGGTCCCTATAATACTGGTTCTCAAACAGCTATGCCTTAGCATTCCCTGGAGAACTTGTCAAAACAGATTCTGGCCCTGCCTCCAATATTCTCCCTCAGTAAGTATGGGGTGGGCACAAGAGTCTGCATTTCTAACTAGTGCCCAGCTGATGTGGATTCTACTTGTTCAGGCTCCACCTGCTGGCAAATAAGGCCCCTGGTGCTGTAAGCAGAAGACCTGCAAATGTTGGACCTCTAAAGATGCTCATATCACTGAGAAAAGTCTAAATGAATTGGAGGAAAAAGATATAACCAGCACAGAACAATGGATGCCCTGGATTTCCCCATTATACTCTGTAGTTGTGTCTGCTGTATATCCACCACAACCTCCCCTCCATTTCTCAGCTCCTGCTGCAATGGACTATTGTGTGTTCTCCTGGGCGTCTGCTCAGGCTGTACTTTCAGCTGGGATCTGCTTGGTGAGCTCATATCATCCTTGAAAATGAAGGCCCAAACTCCATCTCACCCTGGAAACCTTCCCTGGTTGTGATCTTTCCTAT